CATCATTTGCGATAATTGATAATTGATAATTGATAATTGAGTGTATTTGTTAAGATTTGCCAGTTGCCTGTTTTTACACGAATGAGTGACTTTTTGTACGTGTCTATGTGTGGTTTTACCAAGTTCCATCATGTCAATATTCAATCATACATTTACAGGTGGTTTGTGTAAATGTTACAATACTCAACATCTAATATGGCAATATTCAACAATAAGAAATAATTCAGAAAAAATTCAAATATGCACAACAGCAACAAATTTGTGTCAAATCCAACCCAATATTTTTTTTCCTTTTCTTATTAAGTTTGGTCCCGTCCTTAAACATCAACCACATACATTGTTTTTATTTTGTAACTGATTATATTTTACCAACGTTTTTATTTACTAATTGTAACAATTGTAACTTGTCCATAAGTCAAACTGGGGTTGCAAACAATTCAGTGAATGCTCTCAAATAATCGACTGATAATACTAAAATGTCATCAGTGGAGCAATAGTAATGGTATTAAGGTATTACCTTCAAAATGATAAATGACACGTTACACGATGAGATGATGTGTACTGAAAACTGACGTGCACACTAAAAATGACTGGGGCAATTTGTTTGCTATCTCGGTTATAAAACCGTCTGAGCCAAGATATTGTTTTTTTGAGCTGGTGTTGTATTACTGTCAGGTTATTTATTGAGAATAAAATATGGACAAGGACGGTCACTGCTCTAGCTCTATTTAAACTTACATATCACTATGTGTTAATAATTGATAATGATATGTGTATCCTTAGCAGTTTTCTGTGTCATATGCACATCATTTTGTACAACTAACAATACATTTGTGACAGTTTTAAAGTCAGATTTGAGTCTATCCCATTTTAAAATATTTAAAATAACCCAACAGTAATACATATAAAAAAAACACTTATACTGGGTCAAAACAACCCATTAGTCCTGGGGAAAGTGACTCCAGTATTGTGACGGTGCTATATTGACCCAAATCTGAATTTTTAACCCAGTTATTTTCAGTGTGTAGGATGATTTGCTCTCAGTAGAAAGTGACATGAAACTGGGTCTTTCTTTACTCTGCTGTGGCTAAGAAGAAAGTATATATCATTCTCATTAAATGTTTTCTCATTATGCGTCGTTTGTGCTTTAGATTTGGTTCCAGAACCGCAGAGCTAAATGGAGGAAGGCCGAAACACTGAAGGATCTGGAGCTGATGACCAGACAGCCCGTACACTCAGCCACTCATGAGCTGCATTATTATGAGGTAATGTATGAGGTAACACTACTGATCATACTGTAACGTCCATTTAGTATTAAATTAACTAGTTGAAAGAGGGAATCTCCGGTGAAATCACTTGATGGGACAAAATAACAGTGGAAAACTGACTTACAGCAGTTATCTGACGCAATGATTCCTTTGTTGTTTCTCAAGGATTATTTCTCATTTGTATGCGCTCTCTCTCTGTTCTTACAGAAGGCCCCGCTGCAGGCAGTGTGCTGCTGGCTGCCATGCTGCTTACCTAAACCTCTTCAGTCGAGGCTGTTCCTCAGAACAACAACAACACCGGCCTCGCTGACCAACACACATTCCCCAGATTACAGAACTCTCTATTTTGATCCGCTGTGGACAGAGAGATAGCACCTTCAGTATTCCCATAATGATGACACTGTCCTGTTTCTTTGATTACATGTGGTACAAAGATCATAATGAGTTGACACACAAAACCACAAAATGTAGACTGTGATCTGTAAACTGTGACAGCTGTTTGTTTGAATATTTAGCTTCAGTTGTCAAAATGTGTTTTATATACTGTGCTGTCCACCTGGAATAAAGTTTACATGTTTGCAACTGTGCATTTTTGTGATTTAGTAATAAAATTGACCTTTCAGTGTTGATATCCTTCTTGGTTACTGAAAGCCTTCAGCTGGGTTTCTTTGTAATAAAAGACCTTGTGATAAGTCTGTACTGATGTATTCGTACAGATCAAGGTTTGAGGGCACTCGTTATACTGTGACATGCTTCTTGGTAGAGAGCTGTGTATTCACTGTGTTATTGTGAAGGAGAGCCTTCAAGTTTTTTTCATGACACCACACTTCCTTGTCAGAGATAAGATATTGCACCGCCATAAACTGTTCATCTGTTTGACTTTCTGACAACCTCTCCTTATCTTAATTTGGGCTTGTAAATGGAGGTTATTGGCAGGTCAGCTGGGAAATTTATAGAACTTGTCATATAGGATCAAAGGGAAAATTACTATTACTGGTATTACTATATATTGGGGCTGTAGAGATACAGATGAGTGACAAATTAAAGGGAAAACCAGAAAAATAAGTGGAGAAACAAGATGACAATGGCCGCATCCATAGGGCACGAGAGGTCACTGAATTGTTTGATGAGTATGAAAATGATGTGGCCTTCACAGTCACCAGATCTCAACCCAGTTGAACACCTATAGGAAATTTTGGCCTGATGTGTTAGACAGCGCTCTGCACCACCATCATGAAGACTCCAAATGAGGAAATATCTTTTGGAAGAACGGTGTTCATCTTTCCAGGAGAGTCCAGAGACTTGCAGAATCAACGCCAAGGAGCTGCTCTAGTGGCACATGGTGGCCCAACACCTTCCTGAGACACTTTATGCTGGTGTGCCACCCATCTGTATGTAAATAATTGTGACATAAATGAAATACTATAATAAAATAATATAATATATATATTATACATATATTAATGTCTTAATTCATCTTTATTTATTTGTGAAATCAATATTACAGACAAGGCTCCAGTAAATGTATTTCACAACCTTCCCATTAATAATATCTGTCTTCTATTTACCCTGAAACCTGCTTCCTGTGAGAGTGATATCCTTCTGAGAGAAGGCTCCAGCAACCGCTCACATCACTTTCTTTCCCAGAAGTGTTACATAGGCCATTTTTTAAATAATTACTAATTATAAGAATGATAACACACCAACGCTATCTATACCATAACTTACTTGACAGCACCATTACTGATTACATCTAACAAGCCTCTGAGCGCGGCTAAACTTTTCACCCCGGTTATGTCTCCCTTTATTGCATGTGTAAGCCGCAAGATAAACTGTACTCCTGGCTGCAGGGGCGGGGTCAAAGAGGACAGGACAAAAATAGTTGGTGGAAAGCATCAAACAAAAATTAAAAAAAAAAAACATAACCACATTTGTATAATCAAATTTTTATCATAAAGTGGGCGATTCCAAATTGGCATCTATAGTTCTGTATTTATTATAAGATGAAAACATGATATGATTGATAATATCACAAACAAAAAAACACTATTCCCATAGGTGATTACAATGAAAATGCTTTTCATTACATGGAAATGGTAGACCATTGTTGCTGTCCTGAATGGTAGCCTACTTATTAAGGAGAAAGATATAACACATCTGATAATTACAGCTCTCCTTAACATTTTCTAAGATAGTAGCAGACAGTCATTGTGAAATTCTCAATAGCATTACTAGTGAAAAAGGGCCATAAATCAATCTACATGTGGTTATTGAAGGGACCAGTCAATAACACTTGTCTTGTATTATTTTGCACAGTACTCTGGTAGATGCACTGGCTAATAGGAGCTCTCAGTATAATGGATTCAGGGGAATTAATAAAGGACTTCTACAAAATGAATACATCCCATGAGGGAATTTAAAGTTGTCCGAGTATTTGCTGTGTGATTCCTGTAATGTCTGTACTTCTAGTGGCCAGTAATGAATTTAGTTTTCAACTGTAACATTATGAAGTAGGAAGTAGGTCTACCTAGGTGAATGAGAGGTTTGTATACTATAACTCATATAATCCAATAGAACTGTTATTTCGCAAAGTCTCACTTTACGGTGCCTGTAATGTTGAATGTAGAATTTACAGCAGAGCTGTTGTACTGAGTTGCATTAGATTGAACATGTGTACCAAAAAAGTGGCCACTGAGTGTTTTATTTTTATGTTGAATCTGTTTTTAAAAGTTTTAAATAGCTTACAAACAAAGTTAATAAAATCTTTATAAGGTTTACAAAGATACCAACTGGAACAAATAAGATGATCTAACTAAACTGGACATGATTTTACATAAGAGCTCACAAACGCATGAACAACTAAAGCTGCACAGCGGCCAGTTGTGCTGCCTGGATATGATTATGCTTTTAACGCATGAAATATAAGTTCAGCTCATAAAGATTAGTTCTGAAGAGCAGAATCTATCGGGATGAAAAATCCAGATGATGCAAGTTAAAAATAATAATACTCTTTTCAGCCATATGTTTCACATATGATAATAACAGTATTAACAGTACGCTCATGTACCTGTACCAGCATTAATGAAAGCTGCATTCCACATCTTCAACATCTTTGACAGTTTTGAGATTTTCCTGCCATATCGCAAGTAAAAATATCTGCTGTTATTAAATGTCTAATGCTGAACTATACAACAGCCAAATCATTTTTAATTCTACTCTGTTTTTCTTTTATTGTTCTCATAGAAACTTGTAATATACAAATAGATAGATAGATAGATAGATAGATAGATAGATAGATAGATAGATAGATAGATAGATAGATAGATAGACAGATAGTACCTCAAAGTGGCGGACAGGTGGCGCCCTTGCTCCCGTGAATAAGCAGAAATGATGCTCTGTATTTTGCTGAGTGTCATACAAACAACACTGACCTAATTTTAACTCGCAAGGCTTCATCTAACAGCCGTTATGGCCGTCTTAATGTTATTTATCAGTTATTAAGTTCTGTTGATGACACCGCTGAGGCGATTGTAAATAATCGGTTTCGTTTTATATTTCTGTTGCCTGCCTGCACCGGCTCTCAGGAGAGAGGGGGGGCGGATATTCAGTATCTCTCAGCCTCCGCCCGCCTCTGTGGCTCTGTCCAAAGCGGTGGAGAGACAGGGAGGTGAGGGGGGGGGGGGGCGCAGACCGACAGGGGGACAGACAGAGGCACAGAGAGAAAGAGGGGCGATGGCTGCCGGTGTAGGATGCGGGGAATCAGTGGATCAGTACCGGGCCGAGGTGGAACGGCTCACCCAGGAGCTGGCCGAGGCGAACCGGGAGAAGATCAGGGCTGCGGAGTGCGGTCTGGTGGTGCTGGAGGAGAACCAGGCGCTGAAGCAGAAGTATGCAGAGCTGGAGACCGAGCAAGAGACTCTCAGGAAGGAGTTGGAGCAATTACAGGAGGTAGGCTGGACGGGGTTGTGTTGCTGTTATTCACACCGTGGCGAGGCGAAAGCACTGCAGTCAGGTGTGTGGGATCAGCTGCACCAGCCCAGCGGGTGTCCACCCACTATGACTGATGTGTTTCTTGTTGTGTTACCATGCTCTCAGCGGGTATCAATAGACCTTAGTGCCATCCGGAGCAGGGCCAGAGTGGGGAATGGGGACCGGCAGGGGTCGTTGGGTGGTCTCCAGGGTCCTTAACAAAATGAGCAATAATTTAATATCACTTAAATGTAATTTAATTGAAAATCCTCCGAATAGGGATTACATAACAACGTCTTATCTTATGATGGTATAGGTTTCATTCCCTCTGAATAAGTTATAATTCTAAAAAAAAAAACGTGAATAATTCATGCTGTTTCTGTGCAATGAAGCTACAGAAAGCAGCACTGAACATCATAATATCGGTTTTGCAAGCTCAGGATTCTGCAAGCACACAGTAACACCCTACTCCACCTCCCACACCGGTGTATTTCATTGTTTCAAGACTCCTTCCCAGTGTGTGCATGGCGCCAGTCATTACTTTCAGGCAACTCTGTCGGGACTGAGCCTGTTGGTGTTTTGCCAAGATTTTTTTTTTTTTTCTCAAGAAGCTAACAGTAATTGGATCTTCAGAGTTGTTCACTACAGTTGCCCCATTGATCAAAATGTCAACATAAGTATTTCCATAAAGAATGTGCATGGATACAAGGACATCAAGACTCTCTGTGAATATGCAATATTACACACACACATTTATTCATATTCCATAACAATTTGTTGATACTGTTCACATCATTTGGGGGAGACAACGTTAAAAAGTCCACATCCAAAAGCTTCAAAGTCAAGAGAAGTGCTGTGGGACTCAGCCTGAATAATGAATTGGCTGTGTTTATTCATTAATGTATACATGCATACAGCAACAAGAGGTGGGTGCTGACAGGGCTTCACAGCTCAAGGTCGCTTATAGAGATGTCAGAGCCAAAAGGCCAAGAGAAGAAGGAGCTGAAGGCTGTATTTTTTATTTTTTTTTGCATGTGTGTGTTAAAAAGAAGGGGATGTTTTCTCTGTGCTGCCACCTCAGAAGGCCTCATCGTTATTTATAGTGTCATCTCTGATCGTGCACAAACCACTCACTTTGGTCTTAAATAAAAGTCGCACAAAAATCCTTAAAGCACATTAGAGCTTCAACGATAAATTGATTAGTCGATCAAAATGCCAAATATTTGTTGGTTTCAGGTTCTCGGATGTAAGAATTTGTTGATTTTCTTGCTCTTACGTTATAGCAAATTGAATATTGATCAGTTCTGGGCGATTGTTCTGACAAAAAAAGACATCTGATGATGTTACATTGAGCTTTAGGATACTGTGATGGACATTGTTCAGTATATTTTAACGTTTTATGGACCAAATGATTATTGATTGATCAAGAAAATAACTGGCAGATTAGCTGATTATAAAAATAATCATAAGTTGCAGCTCTGAAGTATATCCAGTGTGTCTTGTCCTTATTAAGGCCTTGAAAAATGTGTGAAATCCATTATATGGAAGCCAAATGACAAACTTTGTTAGCTCTGTCTATTACTGTAAATAAATATGAATATTTATAGTCATTTTTTATTCAGTTACCTGCAAGATTATATCCCTGGGCCAAGTACCTGTCTTCATTTATTCTTTTCACTCTTCCAAAGCCCTTTAACATGTGAGGCCTGCATTGACTTAATGAACCACACACACATGAGCGATACATTTCCTCCATACTGTATATTAAAAAATACATCTGCATGAAAACAACATTGTTTCTGTGCACGTGCAAAAAACATACAAACTGAATTGTGACAAAACAGAGGAAATGATTCATTTAAGTCTGTAAATCTTTACTCTATCATTTCAAACAAAAAGAGGCAACGCAATGTCCTCCACAAAAGATTAAAAGACACATAAAAAGCAAGATACAAGAAAAAGTGAAAAACATGTCAGATTAAAATGGACTCCATCAGTGGGCGTTTCTTTGCTCGGGTTGCTCAGCATATATAGATCCAAATAAAAAATTTATGACATCACATGCTCAAGCTACTGTAGCATTCACCATGTTACATTATACATGCATGGTTATATATTTACATCTCACGCTTTTTCTTCCCTGCGCCCTTTTTATTCCACTGCTTGACTAGTTGAACATTTTTGTTTTGACCCGCACGCACGAATCAGAGTGATCTTTGTGCAGCTCATAGAAGCAAGTTAAGACGAAGAGACAGCCTGACACCGACGGCAGCAGAGCACTGTCTCGCTGATATCTCACACTTATGGATTATTGGATGGATGGGTGATGTGGCGGGTGACGGGGGGAAAGATATGATGAGACAGGGAAGACAAAGAAGCAGAAATATGAAGATGTTGGAGTAGGAGAGGGAAGGATAAGGATAGTGGATTGTGGATGTTTAGTAAAACTTAGATTTTTACCCTTTGTGTTCTCTGCTTCCCCACCTGTCTGTCTGCCCATCTGTCTGTCTGTCTTTGTTTGCACTCGTCTCACGGAGGGAACATTTTCCGGAGGTGATATTACTTCCACAGAAAAACACCTCCTGGTCCCTGTCTGTCTGTCTGCCTGTCGCACACTTCTATAAATATGAGTCCACACGGCAGAGTGCAAACCTGCCACTACAATAACATCATGTCTGCTCTCTCCCCGCGTTTGGGAGAGGTGCATTATAAAAGGGCAGGGAAACAGCAAATAGAAATTGGGATTGCTTTTGGGACCGAGTGGCCTATCTCATGACTGTTGGTTATTCCTATGAAAAACCATAAATCCATTACACAGTCTCACCATCCTTTTTTCTTCTATTTGAGAATAGATTGTATCTTCTGTTTCATCCAGTCAGTATTCATTTTTTTAAAAGCTTTCAAAGACAATGTGTTACAGGATATAGTTGTATACTTACACCCTCAAAACAGACAACAGACTATTATATCATACAAAATAATAGTTTTATGCTTGAAGCTTGTATTTGCTATTGGCTTTTTATCGACATACTGTAGATGTCCCATGGAGTGTAGTCTATTGTGTGGGCATGTGTGTATGTACAAGCTGGCCAGCTTTGCATGTGTGTTCCTACTGTGTTTGCATATGTTGTGTGTTCACACATACAGTATGTCCTGCATGCTCTGGTCCTCTGCCCTCAATTCAAGTCCCAGCTGGTGGAGAACAACTCGCTGCAGCACTGCTTGTCTTACGCTCACATAGACACATACGTTCACCACCCACAGACTGCACACACTCATGCCTCAGCTGGGTTCATTTGGTCTTGCTTTACCAAACTTTGCATTTGTGTGTGTGTATCTGGCTACGATTTGTATCTGGTTATATTTAATAGAAAACATAAGGAAATGACAACAGAATACCATCATCATGGGAACAATCTTGAGAATTTTGGCTATTATTTTCATTATCAATTAATCTACCAATTATTTTTTTCAATTAAGCAAGCATTTGGCCTAAAAATGTCAGAAAATGAAATGAAATGAAGAAATAAAAAGTGCCCGTTGCGTTTCCCAAAGCCCAAGGTGACATCTTCAGACAGTTCGACCAGCAGTTCAAACCCAAAGAGATTCAACTGAACATAGAGAGGCATTTAGGCTCCATTAAATGATTAGTCAATTACCAAAATAGTACCTGAACTATTTGCTGTTAACCGACTAATCAGATAACAAAAAACGTCTTCAAAATGTCAACTAATATTTCCTTGACATGAGATACTGATCTTAGCAATATAATACTGTTTATTCTCTTATTATTTGTAATCTATATTCACTATATATATATACAGACGACCTCAGAAAAAGCTGTATTAATCTGTATGCTGTCTGTAGGGCCCAAACAGAAATAGGAGGCTAAGAGTGTGTTTTGGAAGCTGTCAACAGAAAAAATGTTTCCTTGCTTTGTAGGATCCTCTCATCTCCTGTATATTTTCCCTTCACCCTGCTCTTTCACTCAGCCTCCCTCCCCATCTTTCGCTCTGCCTCCCGGCCCGATCACTCTCTCATGTCTTGTATTGCCGTGAGTGTGTGTGTGTGTGTGTGTGTGTGTGTGTGTATGTACCGTAAGTCTCTGGATAGCTGCCTAAGCAGTGTCGGAGACACCATTTCCCCGTGGTTGAGGCTTGTTAGTGCTGTCTCCGGGCAGATGAACCTCAGATAGGGCCGGAGGAGGAGGATGCCATCACTGCAGAGTAGGAAGAGCAGTGTATTCATAGGGCTTACAGTGTTTTCATCACACTCTTGAGGCGTGAAGTCGTCTGTAGATTGAGCACACTTGCACAGCAGCCTTGCAGTCATAAAAAAGATCAGAAGAAATTATTTCCTTCGTTGAATTAAACCTTTAACTTTTTTATCAGAAAATTACCCTGCACTCACTAATGTCGAGGTTAGACTCTTAAGTCACCCAGACTCCTAACATCTCTGCAAAATATAAATCCAAAGAGGAGTGTGAGGAATTAGTCATTTCAGATACTGTCATAACTCATCTTTTCAGGTATTGTTGACAAGCTCTTTTGAATTACAAGTCTATGGAAGAATTGACTTTTGTGACATGTTGAGAACTGGCAGTTCACAGGTCAGTTCTGTTCTCGAGGCTTCAGGCTGAGAAAAATGCCAAATGAGATCTGCATCAAATTCTTCACATGGTATCTTTAAAAACATAAAGAAGGAAGATTCAGTCATGATTCATCAGTTCAGCATGAAGTCTTTGTTCTTACAGAAAGAACATAATGCTGACGGGCTGTGCTCTGGGTTCAAGACTTTGTTGTTTGGTTTTTTTTATTTTGATAATTATTGATATTGAGATTTGAAAATTGATTTAAGTTTAAAGAGACATTCAATATATATGAATAATCCCCCAAAGTGAATTGTTTTACAGATATTGTAATTATAGTCAGTGTCTTTATGTTACAGGAAACAGAACAAGGCTAGCTGTATGCTGTTCC